ACACAACTGTGTAGTTTATCTGGTAGCTCCAGCATGGCCAACCAGGGCGTGGTTCACGGATCCATCAGTGTTTCCAGTGTGGACCTATGCTTAGTATTATAAGCTCTACAGAGATACCCTTTTGAACCTATGCAAGATACCTGTCTGAAATATTTGAGTTTCAAGACAGCTTTCCTCCTTGCCTTCCCCAAGGCCTCGAGAGAATCAGAGTTGCATGCAATTGATGTTAAATCTATTGCCCTTGCTGAGGGTTATAAGTCAATGTCTTGTAGGACAGTACCAGAGTTTGCAGCCAAGAATCAGTCAGCCGCTGCAGGTCCTTTGGGACACAGATCTTATGAAATACCAGCCCTTCCTGCCACTGCTTCAAGGTCCGATAGATCAAGGTTACTATGCCCAATCAGAGCCCTTAGATGGTACTTACAACGCTCATCTACCTTTAGACGTAACCGTCGCCATCTCTTCCTCTCATGCAAGACAATGTAGATACAGAGATCTGTAAGAATACTATTGCTTCATGGCTGATGGAATCAGTTACCAATAGATTTTCCCTCATGAGATTAGGGCCTTAGCATCTTCTATAGCTGCATGGGGTTCGGTATCAGTTGCGTGAGTAGTCATGAGCTGTCATGGAAGTCTCAGAATGCCTTTATCAATTTTAATTTAAGTCCTTGGGTCCTTTAGTAGTGGCACAGCATCCTCTGCCTAGTGTCCTGGGGTGGGGGATGGGGGTTTGTAGGTTATCAGAGCACCAGCTCTTCTTGTATTATTCAGATCATGGAAGGAAGATAAAGATACAGAGATTTAACAGGTAAGGAACGATTATGTGTATCCCTTTCGTGATACTAACCAAGCACTGAGGTGAGGTTCAGTATTCTAGGGAGCAGTCTCTTTCTGTTGTTCCGCCGTTTTAGATTTTTTGGTTAATCAACCGGAAGTGACGTCAATTAACCGGAAGTGACATCAGATCATGCGCGCGGAATGAATATTAGTGTCGTCATGGACCCGAAGTGACACCATAGAACTGGAAATGACGTAAGAATATCGGAAATGACATCAGAAGGTTGGGTATCGGAAATACTTGATTAAGAGGTATAGGTAGTAGAACATATTATCTTATCAGGGAGAAAGAGTCTACTCACCTAGCGGTTTAGTAGTTATCCTCCTTCACATTATTAACACAATCTTATGATGTTATCAGTGTTGTATACATTACTAAGTCATAGTTATCCTAAGAGGTCTAAGATGATTGAGGAATATTTACTAGTGGTATGTTAGAGAATTATACTTCTATGGATAGCCCTCCTTCCGTATGTGGGATTCAGGCAACCATAATCAAGAGGGAATGTTTACGCTATAATTAGGAACAATTACATATATTGTTAGCAATTGTTAGTAGACTTATCTCTGGATTGTAGGATATATGTCCCACCTAACCTCCCCACCTTATCCTCTACAAGATAGTTTTTTTCTTTGGACAAAATGTGAGGTTTTTCAAACAACAATGGTGTGATGTCATGTCAAGGGGAGGTAACTCTATGGGTTAGGAGGGAAACATGCCACTAGGGACTTAGGGTTAAAATTTTCATTTTATTTTCTGTATGTGTCTGTGGAAACCACAGAATTAAGGCAATCATAATCCAGAGGTAAGTTTACTAACAATTACAAACAATATATGTAATTGCTCCTTTTGCCAACAGGTGGAGCATCTCATCACCTACATGGATATAAATCTACAAACAGGATTCAATGGCAAACTCAGTGTATGGATAAGGACAATCTGACCACCCAAGACAGGCTAGATTTCTAACAGAGGGTCTAAATTTACAGCTAGCCAGCCCGATGGTCTGGTAAATTTTATTTTTAGCTAGTCCATACATCTGAGTTAATTCACCATATCTTGGTGTCTGGTCTGGTTAAATCCACTTTGGGCAAGTAACTGGCTGGGTTTTTTGGCTTATTTCATACACTGGTACACTGCTTCAACTACTGGACAATCCATCCAGGTGCAAGTAATTGTTTCAAAGAATTTCTCACCTAATGACTTCAGTCCAGCTTTGAATAACATAGTCTTGCCAGTGTTAGAGTTGATGCCGAGAGACTGGTCAAGATCACTGCACAACTCCCAGAATCCATCCTGTCATGGCAAACAAAATTGAAGTAGAAAAATATAATTCTTCAGGAAAATCTCTTGTCGTATTAAATAAGTAGACCATCATGAACACGACTGAAGACATATCAGACTAATCTCCAGAGTAAAGTTACATGCAAGATTAAATCAAAAATATTTCCAATAAGAAACCATCAATTCTTATATCAGAGATGCAAAGGCTGATTTGATACGGGATGAGTATGGAAGAAGAGTGAATGTTCATTATCCAAAACCGGCCTCCACAGGATATACTGTTGGAATGCCTTGTAGAGCATATGTAATCCCTCCACTCCCTGACACCTTGGAATAGTTGAAGTGCAATCTCATTCTTGTGTCTTTGAATATACGACGACTTACATAAGTGGTTAAAGTAGTCGATTGTCACACTGAAGACCCAGTGTAGCAGGCCATTTCTTCCCCAGTCTATACTTTCCCCGGTGAGAATCTGGCCTAGGCCAAACTTTCCCTGGGGAAGTTTTGTCCTAGGATATTCTTACCCTGGGGAAAGTTTGGGCTAGGCCAATGTTTCCACCCATAGGCCAAAGTTTCCCCCCTGTTTAAACTAGGATGTTTTCTGATGTTTTCTATGAAAAGGGGGGTTTCTGGCATAGCTAGGCTACTTCTTCCCCACCCTTGTTCTTATATCAAAAGGGGGAGATTATGGCCTAGCTAGGCTACTTCTTCCCCACCCTTGCTCTTATATCAAAAGGGGGAGATTCTGGCCTAGCTAGGTTACTTCTTCCCCACCCTTGTTCTTATATCAAAAGGGGGAGATTCTGGCCTAGCTAGGCTACTTCTTCCCCACACTTGTTCTTATATCAAAAGGGGGAGATTATGACCTAGCTAGGTTACTTCTTCCCCACCCTTGTTCTAATATCAAAAGGGGGAGATTCTGGCCTAGCTAGGCTACTCCTTCCCCACCCTTGTTCTTATATCAAAAGGGGGAGATTCTGGCATAGCTAGGCTACTTCTTCCCTACCCTTGTTCTCATATCAAAAGGGGGAGCTAAAGGGCCTAGCTAGGCTACTTCTTCCCCAACCTTGTTCTTATATCAAAAGGGGAGATTATGGCCTAGCTAGGTTACTTCTTCCCCACCCTTGTTCTTATATCAAAAGGGGAGATTCTGGCCTAGCTAGGCTACTTCTTCCCCACACTTGTTCTTATATCAAAGGGGGAGATTATGGCCTAGCTAGGCTACTTCTTCCCCACACTTGTTCTTATATCAAAAGGGGGAGATTCTGGCCTAGCTAGGCTACTTCTTCCCCAACCTTGTTCTTATATCAAAAGGGGGAGATTATGGCCTAGCTAGGCTACTCCTTCCCCACCCTTGTTCTTATATCAAAAGGGGGAGATTCTGGCCTAGCTAGGCTACTTCTTCCCCACCCTTGTTCTTATATCAAAAGGGGAGATTATGGCCGAGCTAGGCTACTTCTTCCCCACCCTTGTTCTTATATCAAAAGGGGAGATTCTGGCCTAGCTAGGCTACTTCTTCCCTTCCCTTGTTCTCATATCAAAAGGGGGAGATTCTGGCCTAGCTAGGCTACTTCTTTCCCACCCTTGTTCTTATATCAAAAGGGGGAGGTTCTGGCCGAGGTAGGCTACTTCTTCCCCACCCTTAAAGCTTGCTCTTATATCAAAAGGGGGAGATTCTGGCCTAGCTAGGCTACTTCTTCCCCACCCTTGTTCTTATATCAAAGGGAGATTCTGGCCTAGCTAGGCTACTTCTTCCCTACCCTTGTTCTTATATCAACAGGGGGAGATTCTGGCCTAGCTAGGCTACTTCTTCCCCACCCTTGTTCTTACATCAAAAGGGGGAGATTCTGGCCTAGCTAGGCAACTTCTTCCCCTGTTGATATAAGAAATCTCTACCCTAGCACAGATGAGTAACACTGAACATACACATGGAACACTTCAAATCTGATCAAACTTTTATCTTTACAATCATGATAAAACATTGTGGAGATAATATATACATCTATAAAATACATAGAGAATCTCACCCAAGTGTCTTCTGATATCAATTATATGAACACGAGTTGATAAAGTTACAAATTTTTACTTTTATCAACGAGTGTTGATATATTTGATATCAGAAGACACGAGAGTGAGATTCTATTTATCATCCAAAATCACACTTCATTAATTTTCAATGAAATATGTACATCTCTGAACATGGTACTGCCATTAGACTTGCAGTGCAGCGATGTCATAGCATTGTGACGTCATCAAGTACATGACGTCATAGCATTGTCAGGGCATTGTACAAAATCTACTGTCAAAACGATATCTCCTAGGAGATATCGTTTGATCTCACACAAGCGATATCTCCTGTGGAACACAGTTTTGGATGATAAATAAAAATATCCTGTGTCACAAAACATAAATAGTTACAAGACTGCCTAAATTTATAACTGTGCAAGAGATTTGGATGACATACAGCTGGTCGACCTACCTGTTGCTGCATGGTGAGAAGTGTTGATATGCGAGCAGTATTGAGTTCCACCCTGTACTCGCGTATACACGGCACAACGACACCCAACTCCATCATCGGCAACACCACCGCATCTGGTGTATTCTTGTCCTGTACAATGTCCAACAAGGATTCATCATTCACATCCAGTGGCCTATCTCCAGTTAACTCTTCTAGTCCGACTCTTTTGCCAGATAGTTTTTTGGCTTTTTTCTTACGAAGAGCAGCCACAGATTCCAGAGATATGTCAAGATAGCTGGGCTTCTTCATAATTGATGTGGTTATAAGTGAAGCAGAGTCAGTATGTCTTTCAAGTGTACGGTCGGTTTCTTTCTCACTCATTGCAATCTTGCTTTGGAATCCACGTGGACTTGAAACCTCCATCTCTTTCATCCAAAACATTTCTCTCCGTGGAGTTCTCACTGACAGCATTATGCGGGGTGGGTCTCTCTCTGAAGACATCCTTGTGTCCGCGAAGCGATAGCTACTGTGGAATTATAATAGGAAGTCATTCGAGGAACATTAAAAGAAGAACACAGGACTGCAACACCATGTTCCATCAGACATGACATGGACACTCCAGACACTCCAGGAATAAATTGGGTTTGGTTAGTCAGTCCAAAATTACAGTCTTTCAAATTTATTTCAAATTTCATATAATGCTACATGCAGAATGTTTCAGCAGTGGTGGAGTCCACATGTTTAAGATGACAGCCATGTTTATAGTCGATCCATATTTCTGTGAGCATATTTCAAAGACCACATTCCTGGGATTACATACATAACATACACATGGAAAAAAGTATTGTAACACCCCATATATTTCATAGCGTCATCAATATGTTCCCACTAACCATAGCATAGGAACCTATCCAAACCTAAATTCGACTTACTATCTAGATAAACTGACCCAAAAGGAATATTAAAATGGCAAATCTAAACACAAAAAGAACGAAATACTGTAGTGTATCCATGGAAGCAATCATGGCAAAATATTGATTCACTTTGTACCACTGATAACTAAGATGTCAACAAGATTCTGGCCTACAATCCTCAAGAAATCGACCGCCTCCTCGGTGTAGTGCTTATAGCGTTCCCCCCCGGAGAGCGGAAGGTCGCGGGTTCGATCCCCGACCGCGTCATACCAAAAGACGTTAAAATATGGTACTTGTTGGTCCCTGCCTGGCGCTCGGCATTAAGGGGTACAACAAGGACTGGTCGGCTCGGAGTCAGTATAATGTGTCTGAGTAGGGTATTCATGCTTCACTGCGGCATGGTATCTCAGTGAGCTAGCACTATAAAACCAGCTTAAGTCTGGGCTAGTACAAGCAGCCGCACATACACATACACACGCATGCACGTCGTCATATGAGCGAAATATTCTCAAGCACGACGTTAAACCCAATTTCACCTCACCTCACCTCTACAAGAGATCACATAAGTATCAATAAGCAAGCACAATGTCAACACCTGGTGTAACCTCCGCCATCAGCAACAACATCCCACACCCTACTCCTCAATGACTATCAGTTGCTGAAGTTTACAAGGCATTGTGTTCCATTCTAGATGGCAGGCTTGTACCAATACATCAAGATTTTGTACTGGAGCATCTGTCTGCCAGGGTGTACTGTGATCGGGACTCCTGGTGGGCCAAGGAAGAGCTGCTACCCCTCCTTGACGTAAGAAATCACCATCGGCATGCACCCTGTCTACAATATCAGTGATGTGCGTTGTCCATTCAGATTTTGTGTGATCATCACGAGATCAAGTCTACAATGAATAAACTCCTGCTGAATGATTCATGCTCCGAGGTATTCAATTGTGCATGTGCAGTGTTCCTATAGCACCAAACACAAGCTCGGGAATCTATCAGGAACAGAAGAAATCGCCTTTTGTCTGACCAGTGGACCCTTCCCCATGCCCTCAAATTGCAGTGACGTTGAACTTGACCCCAAGCACATTGTGTTGCTTTGTACCCTGGAGATAACAACGGGTTCTATATTGAGGTGATCTGGGCTGATCTGGGGGGTTTTGTTGTACCCTGGAGATAACAACGGGTTCTATATTGAGGTGATCTGGGCTGATCTGGGGGGTTTTGTTGTACCCTGGAGATAACAACGGGTTCTATATTGAGGTGATCTAGGCTGATCTGGGGGGTTTTGTTGTACCCTGGAGATAACAACGGGTTCTATATTGAGGTGATCTGGGCTGATCTGGGGTGTTTTGTTGTACCCTGGAGATAACAACGGGTTCTATATTGAGGTGATCTGGGCTGATCTGGGGTTTTGTTGTACCCTGGAGATAACAACGGGTTCTATATTGAGGTGATCTGGGCTGATCTGGGGTGTTTTGTTGTACCCTGGAGATAACAACGGGTTCTATATTGAGGTGATCTGGGCTGATCTGGGGTGTTTTGTTGGTCAAACAACAATGTGGAAGCCAGGGAAGGGCTGTAAGCTCCCTCCGAATAGTGACTCGTGGTGGACCTAAACACTAGCCTTCCTTAAAATCATTACTTTGATTATGTTTTCTGGCTAAACAGCAAACTAGTGGATGGATGACAACCATCATCTCTTGCAATAGCCCTAAATGTCCTCACACCAACAACTAACTATCCTTGTCAGTTGTCAGCTGAGGAAGCCCTATATTTCCTTATCAACAATGAAATCAACTGACTTTCCAAGCTACTGAAAAGTCAGAAAAGTGTACTACAGCTTCATACTGGCTTAATGTTGGACACATACACCGGATGTGATGCTTGCCTTTATACTGCTATACACGGGGTAAAAGTCATAGGTAAGGGGAGGGTGGACCTCAGTAAGATGTGTGTGGACGTCAGTAAGATGTGGGTGAGTCAGTAAGATGTGGGTGAGTCAGTAAGATGTGGGTGGACAGTAAGATGTGGGTGGATGTCAGTAAGATGTGGGTGGACGTCAGTAAGATGTGGGTGGACGTCAGTAAGATGTGGGTGATTCAGTAAGATGTGGGTGGACGTCAGTAAGATGTGGATGGACGTCAGTAAGATGTGGGTGAGTCAGTAAGATGTGGGTGGATGTCAGTAAGATGTGGGTGGATGTCAGTAAGATGTGGGTGGACGTCAGTAAGATGTGGGTGGATGTCAGTAAGATGTGGGTGGACGTCAGTAAGATGTGGGTGGACGTCAGTAAGATGTGGGTGAGTCAGTAAGATGTGGGTGGACGTCAGTAAGATGTGGGTGAGTCAGTAAGATGTCGGTGGACGTCAGTAAGATGTGGGTGGACGTCAGTAAGATGTGGGTGAGTCAGTAAGATGTGGGCTGACGTCAGTAAGATGTGGGTGGATGTCAGTAAGATGTGGGTGGACGTCAGTAAGATGTGGGTGGACATCAGTAAGATGTAGGTGGATGTGAGTAAGATGTGGGTGAGTCAGTAAAATGTGGGTGGACGTCAGTAAGATGTGGGTGAGTCAGTAAGATGTGGGTGAGTCAGTAAGATGTGGGTGGACGTCAGTAAGATGTGGGTGGACGTAAGTAAGCATCTGTCAGGGGGTGATGAGTGTTAGTTAGGGGTGGGTGGGCGTCAGTAAAGATGTGGGTGGGCGTCAGTAAAAGATGTGGGTGAGTCAGTAAGATGTGGGTGGACAGTAAGATGTGGGTGGATGTCAGTAAGATGTGGGTGGGCGTCAGTAAGATGTGGGTGGGCGTTAGTAAGATGTGGGTGATTCAGTAAGATGTGGGTGGGCGTCAGTAAGATGTGGATGGACGTCAGTAAGATGTGGGTGAGTCAGTAAGATGTGGGTGGATGTCAGGAAGATGTGGGTGGACGTCAGTAAGATGTGGGTGGACGTCAGTAAGATGTGGGTGAGTCAGTAAGATGTGGGTGGACGTCAGTAAGATGTGGGTGGACGTCAGTAAGATGTGGGTGAGTCAGTAAGATGTGGGCTGACGTCAGTAAGATGTGGGTGGACGTCAGTAAGATGTGGGTGGACGTCAGTAAGATGTGGGTGGACATCAGTAAGATGTGGGTGGATGTGAGTAAGATGTGGGTGGACGTCAGTAAGATGTGGTAGGACGTAAGTAAGCATCTGTCAGGGGGTGATGAGTGTTAGTTAGGGGTGGGTGGACGTCAGTAAGATGTGGGTGGACGTCAGTAAGATGTGGGTGGACGTCAGTAAGATGTGGGTGAGTCAGTAAGATGTGGGTGGACGTCAGTAAGCATCTGTCAGGGGGTGATGAGTGTTAGTTAGGGGTTGGTGGACGTCAGTAAGATGAGGGTGGACGTCAGTAAGATGTGGGTGAGTCAGTAAGATGTGGGTGGACGTCAGTAAGATGTGGGTGGACGTGAGTAAGATGTGGGTGGACGTGAGTAAGATTTTGGAGGACGTGAGTAAGATGTGGGTGGACGTGAGTAAGATGTGGGTGAGTCAGTAAGATGTGGGTGGACGTCAGTAAGATGTAGGTGGACGTCAGTAAGTATCTGTCAGGGGGTGATGAGTGTTAGTTAGGGGTAGGTGGACGTCAGTAAGATGTGGGTGGACATCAGTAAGATGTGGGCTGATGTCAGTAAGCATCTGTCAGGGGGTGATGAGTGTTAGTTAGGGGTGGGTGGACGTCAGTAAGATGTGTGTGGATGTCAGTAAGATGTGGGTGGACGTCAGTAAGATGTGGGTGGACATCAGTAAGATGTGGGTGAGTCAGTAAGATGTGGGTGGACGTCAGTAAGATGTGGGTGAGTCAGTAAGATGTGGGTGGACGTCAGTAAGATGTGGGTGGACGTCAGTAAGATGTGGGTGAGTCAGTAAGATGTGGGCTGACGTCAGTAAGATGTGGGTGGATGTCAGTAAGATGTGGGTGGACGTCAGTAAGATGTGGGTGGACATCAGTAAGATGTAGGTGGATGTGAGTAAGATGTGGGTGAGTCAGTAAAATGTGGGTGGACGTCAGTAAGATGTGGGTGAGTCAGTAAGATGTGGGTGAGTCAGTAAGATGTGGGTGGACGTCAGTAAGATGTGGGTGGACGTAAGTAAGCATCTGTCAGGGGGTGATGAGTGTTAGTTAGGGGTGGGTGGACGTCAGTAAGATGTGGGTGGACGTCAGTAAGATGTGGGTGAGTCAGTAAGATGTGGGTGGACAGTAAGATGTGGGTGGATGTCAGTAAGATGTGGGTGGACGTCAGTAAGATGTGGGTGGACGTTAGTAAGATGTGGGTGATTCAGTAAGATGTGGGTGGACGTCAGTAAGATGTGGATGGACGTCAGTAAGATGTGGGTGAGTCAGTAAGATGTGGGTGGATGTCAGGAAGATGTGGGTGGACGTCAGTAAGATGTGGGTGGGCGTCAGTAAAAGATGTGGGTGAGTCAGTAAGATGTGGGTGGGCGTCAGTAAGATGTGGGTGGGCGTCAGTAAGATGTGGGTGAGTCAGTAAGATGTGGGCTGGCGTCAGTAAAGATGTGGAGTGGGCGTCAGTAAGATGTGGGTGGATGTCAGTAAGATGTGGGTGGACATCAGTAAGATGTGGGTGGATGTGAGTAAGATGTGGGTGGGCGTCAGTAAAGATGTGGTAGGGCGTAAGTAAGCATCTGTCAGGGGTGATGAGTGTTAGTTAGGGGTGGGTGGACGTCAGTAAGATGTGGGTGGGCGTCAGTAAGATGTGGGTGGGCGTCAGTAAGATGTGGGTGAGTCAGTAAAGATGTGGATGGGCGTCAGTAAGCATCTGTCAGGGGGTGATGAGTGTTATTTAGGGGTTGGTGGGCGTCAGTAAGATGAGGGTGGGCGTGGTAAGATGTGGGTGAGTCAGTAAGATGTGGGTGGGCGTCAGTAAAGATGTGGGTGGGCGTGGAGTAAAGATGTGGGTGGGCGTGAGTAAGATTTTTGGAGGGCGTGGGTAAGATGTGGGTGGGCGTGGTAAAGATGTGGGTGAGTCAGTAAGATGTGGGTGGGCGTCAGTAAGATGTGGGTGGGCGTCAGTAAGAGTATCTGTCAGGGGTGATGAGTGTTAGTTAGAAGGGTGGGTGGGCGTCAGTAAAGATGTGGGTGGACATCAGTAAGATGTGGGCTGATGTCAGTAAGCATCTGTCAGGGGGTGATGAGTGTTAGTTAGGGGTGGGTGGACGTCAGTAAGATGTGTGTGGACGTCAGTAAGATGTGGGTGAGTCAGTAAGATGTGGGTGGACGTGAGTAAGATGTGGGTGGATGTGAGTAAGATGTGGGTGGACGTGAGTAAGATGTGGGTGGACGTGAGTAAGATGTGGGTGGACGTGAGTAAGATGTGGGTGAGTCAGTATGATGTGGGTGGACGTCAGTAAGTATCTGTCAGGGGGTGATGAGTGTTAGTTAGGGGTGGGTGGACGTCAGTAAGATGTGGGTGGACGTCAGTAAGATGTGAGTGGACGTCAGTAAGATGTGGGCTGATGTCAGTAAGCATCTGTCAGGGGGTGATGAGTGTTAGTTAGGGGTGGGTGGACGTGAGTAAGATGTGGGTGGACGTGAGTAAGATGTGGGTGAGTCAGTAAGATGTGGGTGGACGTGAGTAAGATGTGGGTGGACGTCAGTAAGATGTGGGTGGACGTCAGTAAGATGTGTGTGAGTCAGTAAAATGTGGGTGAGTCAGTAAGATGTTGGTGAGTCAGTAAGATGTGGGTGGACGTCAGTAAGATGTGGGTGAGTCAGTAAGCATCTGTCAGGGGGTGATGAGTGTTAGTTAGGGGTGGGTGGACGTCAGTAAGATGTGGGTGGGGTGGTTAAGTGATGTCAGTGAGAAACATAGGGGAGATTGTGAGTGCTTCTGTGGTCTTGCTGAGTAGCTGTGTGAAGTCGGTGCTGGGAGTAGTTGGTGAGTACCTTGGTGAAGTCGGTGAGTACCTGGGAGTAGTGGGTGAAGTCGGTGGGTAGCTCAGTCAGTGAGTAGCTGGGTCAAGTCGGTTTATAGCTGGGAGTAGATGTGAGTACCTGAGAGTAGTTGGTGACTAGCTGGGTGAAGTTGGCGTGTAGCTGGGTGAAGTTGGTGTGTAGCTGGTTGAAGTTGGTGTGTAGCTGGGAGAAGTTGGTGTGTAGCTGTTTGAAGTTGGCGTGTAGCTGGGTGAAGTTGGTGTGTAGCTGGGAGAAGTTGGTGTGTAGCTGGTTGAAGTTGGTGTGTAGCTGGGTGAAGTTGGTGTGTAGCTGGTTGAAGTTGGTGTGTAGCTGGGTGAAGTTGGCGTGTAGCTGGATGAAGTTGGCGTGTAGATAGGTGAAGTTGGTGTGTAGCTGGATGAAGTTGGCATGTAGATAGGTGAAGTTGGCTTGTAGATAGGTGAAGTTGGTGTGTAGATAGGTGAAGTTGGTGTGTAGATAGGTGAAGTTGGTGTGTAGCTGGGAGAAGTTGGTGTGTAGCTGGGTGAAGTTGGCATGTAGCTGGATGAAGTTGGCATGTAGATAGGTGAAGTTGGTGTGTAGATAGGTGAAGTTGGCTTGTAGATAGGTGAAGTTGGTGTGTAGCTGGGTGGAGTTGGTGTGTAGCTGGGAGAGGTTGGTGTATAGATAGGTGAAGTTGGTGTGTAGATAGGTGAAGTTGGTGTGTAGCTGGGTGCAGTTGGCGTGTAGCTGGGTGAAGTTGGTGTGTAGATAGGTGAAGTTGTGTGTAGCTGGGTGAATTTGGTGTGTAGATAGGTGAAGTTGGTGTGTAGCTGGGTGAAGTTGGTGTGAAGCTGGGTGAAGTTGGTGTGTAGCTGGGAGAGGTTGGTGTATAGATAGGTGAAGTTAGTGTGTAGCAGGGTGAAGTTGGTGTGTAGATAGGTGAAGTTGGTGTGTAGCTGGATGAAGTTGGCGTGTAGATAGGTGAAGTCGGTGACTAGCTGGATGAAGTTGGCGTGTAGATAGGTGAAGTTGGTGTGTAGCTGGATGAAGTTGGTGTGTAGATAGGTGAAGTCTGTGACTAGCTGGATGAAGTTGGCGTGTAGATAGGTGAAGTTGGTGTGTAGCAGGGTGAAGTTGGCGTGTAGATTGGTGAAGTTGGTGTGTAGCTGGATGAAGTTGGTGTGTAGATAGGTGAAGTCGGTGACTAGCTGGATGAAGTTGGCGTGTAGATAGGTGAAGTTGGTGTGTAGATAGGTGCAGTTGGCATGTAGCTGGGTGAAGTTGGTGTGTACATAGGTGCAGTTGGTGTGTAGCTGGGAGAAGTTGGTGTGTACATAGGTGAAGTTAGTGTGGGTGGATGTCAGTAAGATGTGGGTGGACGTCAGTAAGATGTGGGTGGACGTCAGTAAGATGTGGGTGAGTCAGTAAGATGTGGGTGGACGTCAGTAAGATGTGGGTGAGTCAGTAAGATGTGGGTGGACGTCAGTAAGATGTGGGTGGACGTCAGTAAGATGTTGGTGAGTCAGTAAGATGTGGGCTGACGTCAGTAAGATGTGGGTGGATGTCAGTAAGATGATGTAGGTGGGCGTCAGTAAGATGTGGGTGGACATCAGTAAGATGTGGGTGGATGTGAGTAAGATGTGGGTGGGCGTCAGTAAAGATGTGGTAGGGCGTAAGTAAGCATCTGTCAGGGGTGATGAGTGTTAGTTAGGGGTGGGTGGGCGTCAGTAAGATGTGGGTGGGCGTCAGTAAGATGTGGGTGGGCGTGGTAAAGATGTGGGAGGGCGTGAGTAAGATGTGGGGTGGGCGTGGAGTAAGATGTGGGTGGGCGTGGTAAGATGTGGGTGAGTCAGTAAAGATGTGGGTGGGCGTCAGTAAGATGTGGGTGGACGTCAGTAAGTATCTGTCAGGGGGTGATGAGTGTTAGTTAGGGGTGGGTGGACGTCAGTAAGATGTGGGTGGACGTCAGTAAGATGTGGGTGGACATCAGTAAGATGTGGGCTGATGTCAGTAAGCATCTGTCAGGGGGTGATGAGTGTTAGTTAGGGGTGGGTGGACGTCAGTAAGATGTGGGTGGACGTCAGTAAGATGTGGGTGAGTCAGTAAGATGTGGGTGGACGTGAGTAAGATGTGGGTGGGCGTCAGTAAGATGTGGGTGGACGTCAGTAAGATGTGGGTGGACGTCAGTAAGTATCTGTCAGGGGGTGATGAGTGTTAGTTAGGGGTGGGTGGACGTCAGTAAGATGTAGGTGGACGTCAGTAAGATGTGAGTGGACGTCAGTAAGATGTGGGCTGATGTCAGTAAGCATCTGTCAGGGGGTGATGAGTGTTAGTTAGGGGTGGGTGGACGTCAGTAAGATGTGGGTGGACGTCAGTAAGATGTGGGTGAGTCAGTAAGATGTGGGTGGACGTGAGTAAGATGTGGGTGGACGTCAGTAAGATGTGGGTGGACGTCAGTAAGATGTGGGTGGACGTCAGTAAGATGTGTGTGAGTCAGTAAAATGTGGGTGAGTCAGTAAGATGTTGGTGAGTCAGTAAGATGTGGGTGGACGTCAGTAAGATGTGGGTGAGTCAGTAAGCATCTGTCAGGGGGTGATGAGTGTTAGTTAGGGGTGGGTGGACGTCAGTAAGATGTGGGTGAGTCAGTAAGCATCTGTGAGGGGGTCATGAGTGTTTGTTAGGGGTGGGTGGATGTCAGTAAGATGTGGGTGGGGTGGTTAAGTGATGTCAGTGAGAAACATGGGGAGATTGTGAGTGCTTCTGTGGTCTTGCTGAGTAGCTGTGTGAAGTCGGTGCTGGGAGTAGTTGGTGAGTACCTTGGTGAAGTCGGTGAGTACCTGGGAGTAGTGGGTGAAGTCGGTGGGTAGCTCAGTCAGTGAGTAGCTGGGTCAAGTCGGTTTATAGCTGGGAGTAGATGTGAGTACCTGAGAGTAGTTGGTGACTAGCTGGGTGAAGTTGGCGTGTAGCTGGGTGAAGTTGGTGTGTAGCTGGGTGAAGTTGGTGTGTAGCTGGGAGAAGTTGGTGTGTAGCTGTTTGAAGTTGGCGTGTAGCTGGGTGAAGTTGGTGTGTAGCTGGGAGAAGTTGGTGTGTAGCTGGTTGAAGTTGGTGTGTAGCTGGGTGAAGATGGTGTGTAGCTGGTTGAAGTTGGTGTGTAGCTGGGTGAAGTTGGCGTGTAGCTGGATGAAGTTGGCGTGTAGATAGGTGAAGTTGGTGTGTAGCTGGATGAAGTTGGCATGTAGATAGGTGAAGTTGGCTTGTAGATAGGTGAAGTTGGTGTGTAGATAGGTGAAGTTGGTGTGTAGAAAGGTGAAGTTGGTGTGTAGCTGGGAGAAGTTGGTGTGTAGCTGGGTGAAGTTGGCGTGTAGCTGGATGAAGTTGGCATGTAGATAGGTGAAGTTGGTGTGTAGATAGGTGAAGTTGGCTTGTAGATAGGTGAAGTTGGTGTGTAGCTGGGTGAAGTTGGCGTGTAGCTGGGTGAAGTTGGTGTATAGATAGGTGAAGTTGTGTGTAACTGGGTGAATTTGGTGTGTAGATAGGTGAAGTTGGTGTGTAGCTGGGTGAAGTTGGTGTGTAGCTGGGTGAAGTCGGTGACTAGCTGGATGAAGCTGGCGTGTAGATAGGTGAAGTTAGTGTGTAGCTGGATGAAGTTGGTGTGTAGATAGGTGAAGTCGGTGACTAGCTGGATGAAGTTGGCGTGTAGATAGGTGAAGTTGGTGTGTAGCAGGGTGAAGTTGGCATGTAGATAGGTGAAGTTGGTGTGTAGCTGGATGAAGTTGGTGTGTAGATAGGTGAAGTCGGTGACTAGCTGGATGAAGTTTACGTGTAGATAGGTGAAGTTGGTGTGTAGATAGGTGCAGTTGGCGTGTAGCTGTGTGAAGTTGGTGTGTAGATAGGTGCACTTGGTGTGTAGCTGGGAGAAGTTGGTGTGTAGATAGGTGAAGTTAGTGTGTAGCTGGGTGAAGTTGGCTTGTAGCTGGGTGAAGTTGGTGTGTAGATAGGTGAAGTTGGTGTGTAGCTGGGTGAAGTTGGCTTGTAGCTGGGTGAAGTTGGTGTGTAGCTGGGTGAAGTTGGTGTGTAGCTGGGTGAAGTTGGTGTGTAGCTGGGTGAAGTTGGTGTGTAGCTGGGTAAAGTTGGCTTGTAGCTGGGTGAAGTTGGTGTGTAGCTGGGTGAAGTTGGCTTGTAGCTGGGTGAAGTTGGTGTGTAGCTGGGTGAAGTTGGTGTGTAGCTGGGTGAAGTTGGTGTGTAGCTGGGTGAAGTTGGTGTGTAGATAGGTGAAGTTAGTGTGTAGCTGGGTGAAGTTGGTGTGTAGCTGGGTGAAGTTGGTGTGTAGATAGGTGAAGATAGTGTGTAGCTGGGAGAAGTTAGTGTGTAGCTGTGTGAAGTTAGTGTGAAGTTGGTGTGTAGCTGGGAGAAGTTAGTGTGTAGCTGGGTGAAGTTGGTGTGAAGTCAGTGTGTAGCAGGGTGAAGTTGGTGTGTAGTTGTGTGACATTAGTGTGTAGCTGGGTGAAGTTAGATTTTCTGTGGGTGAAGTTAGTGTGTAGCTGTGTGAAGTTGGTCTGTAGCTGGGTGAAGTTAGTGTGTAGTTGTGTGAAATTAGTGTGTAGCTGGGTGAAGTTGGTGTGTGGCTGGGTGTAGTTGGTGTGTAGCTCGGTGAAGTTGGTGTGTAGCTGGGTGAAATCATTGAGTAGCTCGGTGAAGTTGGTGTGTAGCTGTGTGAAGTTGGTGTGTAGCTGGGTGAAATCAGTGAGTACCTGTAAGTAGTCGGTGAGTACCTTGGTGAAGTCGGTGAGTACCTGGGAGCAGTTGGTGAGTACCTGGGTGAAGTCGGTGTGTAACTGGGTGAAGTCGGTGAGTACCTTGGCAAAGTCGGTGAGTACCTGGGAGCAGTTGGTGAGTACCTGGGAGTAGTAGGTGAGTACCTTGGTGAAGTCGGTGTGTAGCTGGGTGAAGTCGGTGTGTAGCTGGGTGAAGTCGGTGAGTACCTGGGTGAAGTCGGTGAGTACCTGGGTGAAGTCGGTGAGTAGCTGGGTGATGCTTCATACACAGCCTTGGTTCGTGATTGCAGCTCATTTGATGAAAACTGTGTCACAGTCTCTGAAAAGTACCCCAGCACAATCTTGAGCTAATGTTTCCATGAGATCACTGAACTGTTAACAATAAACGGAAGTTATTTTATGGATGAGAACACCTTTATCATATTATGTTTCGATGTTTCAGCACACATCTATATACTGCTCTAAGCAAGAACAAAGTAACAGCACAGAATATATATCTCTTGATTATATACATCAAATATGGATTATATACATCTAATATGGATTATATACATCTAATATGGATTATATACATCTAATATGGATTAGATACATCTAATATGGATTAGATACATCAAATATGGATTATATACATCTAATATGGATTATATATATCTAATATGTATTATATACAACAAATATGGATTAGATACATCAAATATGGATTATATACATCTAATATGGATTATATACATCTAATATGGATTATATATATCTAATATGTATTATATACATCTAATATGGATTAGATACATCTAATATGGATTAGATACATCAAATATGGATTATATACATCTAATATGGATTATATATATCTAATATGTATTATATACAACAAATATGGATTAGATACATCAAATATGGATTATATACATCTAATATGGATTATATACATCTAATATGGATTATATATATCTAATATGTATTATATACAACAAATATGGATTATATACATCTAATACAGATTCAGTAATATAAGTGTATGCACGAAATAGATTAACAACAGTCAAGGATTTGTGATTAATACCGAAAAAACACGAGGAAACCAACTGTATGTGAGAGCAGAACAAAATACACACGGCTGGTTAGAACAATTAGAACAATTAGAAAAATTAGACAGCAGGAGGGCCCTGTTGTTTACTTATTACACAGTCCAAGCTGATGGACTATTCAGGAGAGAATGATATAACAAGAGTGGTCTGTGCACATTCCACAACAAGAGTGGTCTCTACGCATTCTACAACTAGAGTGGTCTCCACACATTCCACAACAAGAGTGGTCTTCACACATTCCACAACAAGAGTGGTCTCTACACATTCCACAACACGAGTGGTCTCTACACATTCCACAACAAGAGTGGTCTCCACACATTCCACAACAAGAGTGGTCTCTACACATTCCACAACAAGAGTGGTCTGTGCACATTCCACAACAAGAGTGGTCTCAAAACATTCTACACCGAGAGTGGTCTCTACACATTGCACAACAAGAGTGGTCTCCACACATTCCACAACAGTGGTCTCCACACATTCCACAGAGTGGTCTCCACACATTCCACACCAAGAGTGGTCTCTACACATTCTACAATTAGAGTGGTCTCCACACATTCCACAACAAGAGTGGTCTTCACACATTCCACAACAAGAGTGGCCTCTACACATTCCACAACAAGAGTTGTCTCTACACATTCCACAACAAGAGTGGTCTCTACACATTCCACAACAAGAGTGGTCTCTACACATTCCACAACAAGAGTGGTCTCTACACATTCCACAACAAGAGTGGTCTCTACACATTCCACAACAAGAGTGGTCTCCACACATTCCACTACAAGAGTGGTTTCTACACATTCCACAACAAGAGTGGTCTCTACACATTCTACACCAAGAGTGGTCTCTACACATTCCACAACATGAGCGGTCTCTACACATTCCACAACAAGAGTGGTCTCTACACATTCTACACCAAGAGTGGTCTCTACACATTCCACAACATGAGCGGTCTCTACACATTCCACAACAAGAGTGGTCTCTACACATTCCCCAACAAGAGTGGTCTCTACACATTCCACAACAAAAGGGGTCTCCACACATTCCACACCAAGAGTGGTCTCTACACATTCCACAAGAGTGGTCTCTACACATTCCACAACAAGAGGGGTCTCTACACATTCCACAACAAGAGTGGTCTCTACACATTCCACAACAAGAGTGGTCTCTACACATTCCACAACAAGAGTGGTCTCTACACATTCGACAACAAGAGTGGTCTCTACACATTCTACAACAAGAGTGGTCTCTACACATTCCACAACAAGAGTGGTCTCTTCACATTCCTGGTCTCTACATATTCTACACTACACACATTCCACAACAAGAGTGGTCTCTACACATTCCACAACAAGAGTGGTCTCTACATATTCTACACCAAGAGTGGTCTCTACACATTCCACAACAAGAGTCTCACACATTCCCCAACAAGAGTGGTCTCTACACATTCCACAACAAGAGTGGTCTCTACACATTCCACACACATTCAAGAGTGGTCTCTACACATTCCACAACATGAGCACACATTCCACAACAAGAGTGGTCTCTACACATTCCACAACAAGAGTGGTCTCCACACATTCCACAACAAGAGTGGTGGTCTCTACACATTCCACAAGAGTGGTCTCTACACATTCCACAACAAGAGTGGTCTCTACACATTCCACAACAAGAGTGGTCTCTACATATTCCACAACAAGAGTGGTCTCACATTCCACAACAAGAGTGGTCTTCTACACACACAAGAGTGGTCTCTACACATTCCACAACAAGGAGTGGTCTCTTCATATTCACAACAAGAGTGGTCTCTACACATTCCACAACAAGAGTGGTCTCTACACATTCCACAACAAGAGTGGTCTCTACACATTCCACAACAAGAGTGGTCTCTACACATTCCACAACAAGAGTGGTCTCTACACATTCCACAACAAGAGTGGTCTCCACACATTCCACAACAAGAGTGGTCTCTACACATTCCACAAGAGTGGTCTCTACACATTCCACAACAAGAGGGGTCTCCACACATTCCACAACAAGAGTGGTCTCTACAATTCCACAACAAGAGTGGTCTCTACACATTCGAAAACAAGAGTGGTCTCTACACATTCGACAACAAGAGTGGTCTGTGCACATTCCACAACAAGAGTGGTCTCTACATATTCTACAAGAGTGGTCTCTACACATTCCACAACAAGAGTGGTCTCTACATATTCTACACCAAGAGTGGTCTCTACACATTCCACAACAAGAGTGGTCTCTTCATATTCTACACCAAGAGTTCTCACAACAACAGTGGTGGTCTTCACATTCCACACCAAGAGTGGTCTCTACACATTCTACACTCTACATTCCACAACAAGAGTGGTCTCTACACATTCCACAACAAGAGTGGTCTCCACACATTCCACAACAAGAGTGGTCTACACACATTCCACAACTAGAGTGGTCTCCACACATTCCACAACAAGAGTGGTCTGTGCACATTCCACAACAAGAGTGGTCTCAAAACATTCTACACCGAGAGTGGTCTCTACACATTCCACAACAAGAGTGGTCTCTACACATTCCACAACAAGAGTGGTCTGTGCACATTCCACAACAAGAGTGGTCTCAAAACATTCTACACCGAGAGTGGTCTCTACACATTCCACACCAAGAGTGGTATTCACACATTCCACAACAAGAGTGGTCTCTACACATTCTACAACAACAGTGGTCTGTGCACATTCCAGAACAAGAGTGGTCTGTGCACATTCCACAACAATAGTGGTCTCTACATATTCTACAACAAGAGTGGTCTCTACACATTCCACAGCAAGAGTGGTCTCTACACATTCCACAACAAGAGTGGTCTCTACACATTCCACACCAAGTGTGGTCCGTGCACATTCCACAACAAGAGAGGTCTCTACAAATTCCACAACAAGAGTGGTCTCTACACATTACACAACAAGAGTGGTCTCTACGAATTCCACAACAAGAGTGGTCTGTGCGAATTCCACAAGAGTGGTCTCTACACATTCCACAACAAGAGTGGTCTCTACACATTCCACAATAAGAGTGGTCTCCACACATTCCACAACAAGAGTGGTCTCTACACATTCCACTACAAGAGGGGTCTCTACACATTCCACACCAAGAGTGGTGTCCACACATTCCACAACAAGAGTGGTCTCTACACATTCGACAACAAGAGTGTTCTCTACACATTCAACACCAAGAGTGGTCTCTACACATTCCACACCAAGTGTGGTCTGCAGACATTCCACACCAAGAGAGGTCTGTGTACATTCCACACCAAGAGAGGTCTCCACACAATATTTCTACCCCTCTGGGCATGTCACTTGCTGTGGATCATGTAATCCTTAACTAAGAGACTTCAACAGCATCAGATTTGGTAACATACATTCCTTTTCACTGTGTCTTGTATATTCACCACTGCTTGGAACTACCCTTAGTTACAGTCTGTTGGGTCAAAATCATACCTATGAATCACAATCCGTTAATGATAAAACATTCATTTCAACGCAGAATGTAATGAAAAAGATTCATATTTTGTCTCCAAAATGAAAATGTTACTTAACAAACTGTCAAGATTTTGTTTTGGTTTTCTGTGAGTAAAGTAACAGTTGCAGGAACAGCCTCAGGGGGCGGGAATCACATGCACTTGTGACGTCACATCATTTGTGATTCGTCGATATCATTTTGACCCAAACAGACTGTAAACACCACATATTTTGGCAACGGCAATGCTTTGTCACACTTCGGCAATAAAACAAACTCTTCTAACCATAATTTATTCCAAGATACAATAATTTCAGTACAACCCACATGATGAACAACACGACAGAACAAGACAGAAACAGTGGAAAACAAATGTCAGCAGTGTTTTCATGGAAACTGAGACACAGCAAACATTCTAGCTAACTATCCAGAACCAATCAACAAAGGTTCACCAACAATACAGCTGTAAATATTTCATGATTTATCAAACTATCAAAAATAATTCTTTCTCAACAGGCAGATCATAAAACTGTAATCTCATATTAATATAATTTATAACATTACAACATATTCTAAAACAGAAATAAGTTAGTCAAACACTAAATATTTTACAATGTCTGTATTCATGGTATACTGTGATACACACCTCGTCAATGCACTCAGCTGCAAGGAGATGTTCATGCAATTGGTCTGATACTTGTGCCGTGGAGCCTGAGAAATCTCGTTATTATAGGCTGCTTTCAGGGTTTTGCTAGTTCTTCATTAGTTCAGCTAATTTCATGAAAGGTCATTCTAATGAGACCTACGATGTCCTCAGGTATCTGTGTAATGGTAGGGAGGACAAAAGGTCATTCTAATGAGACCTACGATGTCCTCAGGTATCTGTGTAATGGTAGGGAGGACAAAAGGTCATTCTAATGAGACCTACGATGTCCTCAGGTTTCTGTGTAATGGCGAGGAGGACCAAAGGTCATTCTGATGTGACCTACGATGTCCTCAGATTTCTGTGTAATGGCGGGGAGGACCAAAGGTCATTCTAATGAGACCTACGATGTTCTCAGGTATCTGTGTAATGGTAGGGAGGACAAAAGGTCATTCTGATGCGACCTACGATGTCCTCAGGTATCTGTGTAATGGTAGGGAGGACAAAAGGTCATTCTAATGAGACCTACGATGTCCTCAGGTATCTGTGTAATGGCGGGGAGGACCAAAGGTCATTCTGATGTGACCTACGATGTCCTCAGATTTCTGTGTAATGGCGGGGAGGACCAAAGGTCATTCTAATGAGACCTACGATGTCCTCAGGTATCTGTGTAATGGTAGGGAGGACAAAAGGTCATTCTGATGCGACCTGGGATGTTCTCAGGTTCATGTGTAATGGCGGGGAGGACCAAAGGTCATTCTAATGAGACCTACGATGTCCTCAGGTATCTGTGTAATGGTAGGGAGGACAAAAGGTCATTCTGATGCAACGTTGGATGTTCTCAGGTTTATGTGTAATGGGACCTGGGATGTCCTCAGATTTATGTGTAATGGTAGGGACGACAAAGGGTCATTCTGATGTGACCTGGGATGTCCTCAGGTTTATGTGTAATGGTGGGGGAGGACTAAACGTCATTCTGATGAGACCTGGGATGTCCTCAGATTTTTGTGTAATGGTAGGGAGGACAAAAGGTCATTCTGATGCGACCTGGGACGTCCTCAGGTTTATGTGTAATGGTAGGGAGGACTAAATGTCATTCTGATGTGACCTGGCATGTCCTCAGGTTTATGTGTAATGATGGGGAGGACTAAACGTCATTCTGATGTGACCTGGGATGTCCCTCAGATTTTTCTGCAATGGTGGGGAGGACAAACGGTCATTCTGCTGTGACCTGGCATGTCCTCAGGTTCAGGTTTATGTGTAATGGTAGGGAGGACAAACGTCAATCTGATGTGACCTGGCATGTCCTCAGATTTATGTGTAATGGTAGGGAGGACAAAACGTCAATCTGATGTGACCTGGGACGTCCTCAGATTTATGTGTAATGGTAGGGACGACAAAATGCCATTCTGATGCGACCTGGGATGTCCTCAGGTTCAGGTTTATGTGTAATGGTAGGGAGGACAAAATGTCATTCTGATGTGACCTGTCATGTCCTCAGGTTTATGTGCAATGGTAGGGAGGACAAAATGTCATTCTGATGTGACCTGGCATGTCCTCAGGTTTATGTGTAATGGTAGGGAGGACTTAAGGTCATTTTAATGTGACCTGGGATGTCCTGAGATTTATGTGCAATGGTAGGGTGGACAAAAGGTCATTCTGATGTGACCTGGCATGTCCTGAGATTTATGTGCAATGGTAGGGTGGACAAAAGGTCATTCTGATGTGACCTGGGATGTCCTCAGGTTTCAGTGCAATGGTAGGGAGGACAAAAGGTCATTCTGATGTGACCTGGCATGTCCTGAGATTTATGTGCAATGGTAGGGTGGACAAAAGGTCATTCTGATGTGACCTGGGACGTCCTCAGGTTTATGTGCAATGGTAGGGAGGACAAAAGGTCATTCTGATGCGACCTGGGACGTCCTCAGGTTTATGTGTAAAGGTGGGGAGGACTAAATGTCATTCTGATGCGACCTGGGATGTCCTCAGGTTTATGTGTAAAGGTGGGGAGGACCAAAGGTCATTCTAATGAGACCTACGATGTCCTCAGGTATCTGTGTAATGGTAGGGAGGACAAAAGGTCATTCTGATGCAACGTTGGATGTTCTCAGGTTTATGTGTAATGGTAGGGAGGACAAAAGGTCATTCTGATGCGACCTGGGACGTCCTCAGGTTTATGCGTAATGGTAGGGAGGACAAAAGGTCATTCTGATGCGACCTGGGACGTCCTCAGGTTTATGTGTAATGGTAGGGAGGACTAAATGTCATTCTGATGTGACCTGGCATGTCCTCAGGTTTATGTGTAATGGTGGGGAGGACTAAACGTCATTCTGATGTGACCTGGGATGTCCTCAGGTTTATGTGTAATGGTGGGGAGGACTAAACGTCATTCTGATGTGACCTGGGATGTCCTCAGATTTATGTGTAATGGTAGGGACGACAAAAGGTCATTCTGATGTGACCTGGGATGTCCTCAGGTTTATGTGTAATGGTGGGGAGGACTAAACGTCATTCTGATGTGACCTGGGATGTCCTCAGATTTTTCTGTAATGGTAGGGAGGACAAAAGGTCATTCTGATGCGACCTGGGACGTCCTCAGGTTTATGTGTAATGGTAGGGAGGACTAAATGTCATTCTGATGTGACCTGGCATGTCCTCAGGTTTATGTGTAATGATGGGGAGGACTAAACGTCATTCTGATGTGACCTGGGATGTCCTCAGATTTTTCTGCAATGGTGGGGAGGACAAACGGTCATTCTGCTGTGACCTGGCATGTCCTCAGGTTCAGGTTTATGTGTAATGGTAGGGAGGACAAAACGTCAATCTGATGTGACCTGGCATGTCCTCAGATTTATGTGTAATGGTAGGGAGGACAAAACGTCAATCTGATGTGACCTGGGACGTCCTCAGATTTATGTGTAATGGTAGGGACGACAAAATGCCATTCTGATGCGACCTGGGATGTCCTCAGGTTCAGGTTTATGTGTAATGGTAGGGAGGACAAAATGTCATTCTGATGTGACCTGTCATGTCCTCAGGTTTATGTGCAATGGTAGGGAGGATAAAATGTCATTCTGATGTGACCTGGCATGTCCTCAGGTTTATGTGTAATGGTAGGGAGGACTTAAGGTCATTTTAATGTGACCTGGGATGTCCTGAGATTTATGTGCAATGGTAGGGTGGACAAAAGGTCATTCTGATGTGACCTGGCATGTCCTGAGATTTATGTGCAATGGTAGGGTGGACAAAAGGTCATTCTGATGTGACCTGGGATGTCCTCAGGTTTCAGTGCAATGGTAGGGAGGACAAAAGGTCATTCTGATGTGACCTGGCATGTCCTGAGATTTATGTGCAATGGTAGGGTGGACAAAAGGTCATTCTGATGTGACCTGGGACGTCCTCAGGTTTATGTGCAATGGTAGGGAGGACAAAACGTCATTCTGATGCGACCTGGGACGTCCTCAGGTTTATGTGTAAAGGTGGGGAGGACTAAATGTCATTCTGATGCGACCTGGCATGTCCTCAGGTTTATGTGTAAAGGTGGGGAGGACTAAATGTCATTCTGATGCGACCTGGGATGTCCTCAGGTTTATGTGCAATGGTAGGGAGGACAAAAGGTCATTCTGATGTGACCTGGCATGTCCTGAGATTTATGTGCAATGGTAGGGTGGACAAAAGGTCATTCTGATGTGACCTGGGATGTCCTGAGATTTATGTGCAATGGTAGGGAGGACAAAAGGTCATTCTGATGCGACCTGGGACGTCCTCAGGTTTATGTGCAATGGTAGGGAGGACAAAAGGTCCTTCTGATGCGACCTGGGACGTCCTCAGGTTTATGTGTAAAGGTGGGGAGGACTAAATGTCATTCTGATGCGACCTGGGATGTCCTCAGGTTTATGTGTAAAGGTGGGGAGGACTAAATGTCATTCTGATGCGACCTGGGATGTCCTCAGGTTTCTGTGCAATGGTGGGGAGGACTAAATGTCATTCTGATGCGACCTGGGATGTCCTGAGATTTATGTGCAATGGTAGGGTGGGACAAAAGGTCATTCTGATGTGACCTGATGTCCTAGAGATTTGGCAATGTCCTCAGGTTTCTGATGTGACCTGGGATGTCCCTCAGGTTTATGTGTAATGGTAGGGAGGACAAAAGGTCATTCTGATGCGACCTGGGATGTCCTCAGGTTTATGTGTAATGGTAGGGAGGACAAAAGGTCATTCTGAGGCGACCTGGGATGTCCTCAGGTTTATGTGTAATGGTAGGGAGGACAAAAGGTCATTCTGATGTGACCTGGGATGTCCTCAGGTTTATGTGTAATGGTGGGGAGGACTAAACGTCATTCTGATGTGACCTGGGATGTCCTCAGATTTTTCTGTAATCGTGGGGAGGACAAAAGGTCATTCTGATGTGACCTGGGATGTCCTCAGATTTATGTGTAATGGTAGTGAGAACTAAAGGTCATTCTGCTGTGACCTGGCATGTCCTCAGGTTTATGTGTAATGATGGGGAGGACTAAACGTCATTCTGATGTGACCTGGGATGTCCTCAGATTTTTCTGCAATGGTGGGGAGGACAAACGGTCATTCTGCTGTGACCTGGCATGTCCTCAGATTTATGTGTAATGGTAGGGAGGACAAAAGGTCATTCTGATGCGACCTGGGATGTCCTCAGGTTCAGGTTTATGTGTAATGGTAGGGAGGACAAAACGTCAATCTGATGTGACCTGGCATGTCCTCAGATTTATGTGTAATGGTAGGGAGGACAAAACGTCAATCTGATGTGACCTGGGACGTCCTCAGATTTATGTGTAATGGTAGGGACGACAAAATGCCATTCTGATGCGACCTGGGATGTCCTCAGGTTCAGGTTTATGTGTAATGGTAGGGAGGACAAAATGTCATTCTGATGTGACCTGGCATGTCCTCAGGTTTATGTGCAATGGTAGGGAGGACTAAATGTCATTCTGATGTGACCTGGCATGTCCTCAGGTTTATGTGTAATGGTAGGGAGGACTTAAGGTCATTTTAATGTGACCTGGGATGTCCTGAGATTTATGTGCAATGGTAGGGTGGACAAAAGGTCATTCTGATGTGACCTGGCATGTCCTGAGATTTATGTGCAATGGTAGGGTGGACAAAAGGTCATTCTGATGTGACCTGGCATGTCCTCAGGTTTCAGTGCAATGGTAGGGAGGACAAAAGGTCATTCTGATGTGACCTGGCATGTCCTGAGATTTATGTGCAATGGTAGGGTGGACAAAAGGTCATTCTGATGTGACCTGGGATGTCCTCAGGTTCAGGTTTATGTGTAATGGTAGGGAGGACAAAATGTCATTCTGATGTGACCTGTCATGTCCTCAGGTTTATGTGCAATGGTAGGGAGGACAAAATGTCATTCTGATGTGACCTGGCATGTCCTCAGGTTTATGTGTAATGGTAGGGAGGACTTAAGGTCATTTTAATGTGACCTGGGATGTCCTGAGATTTATGTGCAATGGTAGGGTGGACAAAAGGTCATTCTGATGTGACCTGGCATGTCCTGAGATTTATGTGCAATGGTAGGGTGGACAAAAGGTCATTCTGATGTGACCTGGGATGTCCCTCAGGTTCCAGTGCAATGGTAGGGAGGACAAAAGGTCATTCTGATGTGACCTGGCATGTCCTGAGATTTATGTGCAATGGTAGGGTGGACAAAAGGTCATTCTGATGTGACCTGGGATGTCCCTCAGGTTTATGTGCAATGGTAGGGAGGACAAAAGGTCCTTCTGATGCGACCTGGGACGTCCTCAGGTTTATGTGCAATGGTAGGGAGGACAAAAGGTCATTCTGATGCGACCTGGGACGTCCTCAGGTTTATGTGTAAAGGTGGGGAGGACTAAATGTCATTCTGATGCGACCTGGGATGTCCTCAGGTTTATGTGTAAAGGTGGGGAGGACTAAATGTCATTCTGATGCGACCTGGGATGTCCCTCAGGTTTATGTGCAATGGTAGGGAGGACAAAAGGTCATTCTGATGTGACCTGGCATGTCCTGAGATTTATGTGCACATGGTAGGGTGGACAAAAGGTCATTCTGATGTGACCTGGGATGTCCTGAGATTTATGTGCAATGGTAGGGAGGACAAAAAGGTCCTTCTGATGCGACCTGGGACGCCCTCAGGTTTATGTGCAATGGTAGGGAGGACAAAAGATCATTCTGATGCGACCTGGGACGTCCTCAGGTTTATGTGTAAAGGTGGGGAGGACTAAATGTCATTCTGATGCGACCTGGGATGTCCTCAGGTTTATGTGTAAAGGTGGGGAGGACTAAATGTCATTCTGATGTGACCTGGCATGTCCTCAGGTTTCTGTGCAATGGTGGGGAGGACTAAATGTCATTCTGATGCGACCTGGCATGTCCTCAGGTTTATGTGCAATGGTAGGGAGGACAAAATGTCATTCTGATGTGACCTGGCATGTCCTGAGATTTATGTGCAATGGTAGGGTGGACAAAAGGTCATTCTGATGTGACCTGGGATGTCCTCAGGTTTATGTGTAATGGTAGGGAGGACTAAATGTCATTCTGATGTGACCTGGGACGTCCTCAGGTTTATGTGTAAAGGTGGGGAGGACTAAATGTCATTCTGATGCGACCTGGCATGTCCTCAGGTTTATGTGTAAAGGTGGGGAGGACTAAATGTCATTCTGATGCGACCTGGGATGTCCTCAGGTTTCTGTGCAATGGTGGGGAGGACTAAATGTCATTCTGATGCGACCTGGGACGTCCTCAGGTTTATGTGTAATGGTAGGGAGGACTTAAGGTCATTTTAATGTGACCTGGGATGTCCTCAGGTTTATGTGTAAAGGTGGGGAGGACTAAATGTCATTCTGATGCGACCTGGTATGTCCTCAGGTTTATGTGTAATGGTGGGGAGGACTAAATGTCATTCTGATGCGACCTGGGATGTCCTCAGGTTTATGTGTAATAGTGGGGAGGACTAAATGTCATTCTGATGCGACCTGGGATGTCCTCAGGTTTATGTGTAATGGTGGGGAGGACTAAATGTCATTGTGATGCGACCTGGGACGTCCTCAGGTTTATGTGTAATGGTGGGGAGGACTAAATGTCATTGTGATGCGACCTGGGACGTCCTCAGGTTCACCAGGGAGAACTCTACACTGACAAATACAGAGAAGAATTTGTATTTACAGGAAATCTCACATATTACTTAAAACATGGTACAACATGACAAGCAACTCTATGAACGACAAACATATGTAGTAAATATATTTATTCACTCCTGTTTAACACTGCACAAAGGTCAAGTAAGGGTCAGAGATAGATCATGAAGGTCTGCTTAATTGTATTAAGTGAGAAACATAATGCAACCTCATGTCATTCAAACAAAATAAATGTAATTTCCTCACTAGCTACGTGTATCACAGTCAATACGCTGGAATGTTAAGATGATAAAACAAAATAAGAACAGGCACCATAAAGCATGGATTAACAGGGTTAGACTGGATTAACAGGGTTAGACTGGATTAACAGGGTTAGACTGAGGCTGTAACTCAAATACTGGTCAAAAAGCAATAGCAGAACACGCAGCCAACACACTCTCCATAACACTTCCTTTATTATTAGCCATCAGTATATTGTAAATCATGAAATTAATGCGAGTGCGAGGGTCTAGTCTAAAATGCATCACAAAATTAATTTGAGCTTTCAGGAATCTGTGTTGATGATAAAATGTGACATCCTGGATCTTTGAGGTTGTTCATTTTCTTTTCACACTTGTTATTTACCAAATAACCTGAATTGAGCTTGTTAAACCACAAATGGAAATGAGCTGACGATGTTTTGATTATGCTGCCATCTTTGATCACATGATTGCTTGCTACAACATTTATACATATAATCCGATTTGAAAGACTTCTTCTATTGAAATGATCCTGCCTTGTTGGAGAATGTCCGGTCTGACTGATGTGCGAGTGACTTTAAATAATGACCAGTGATTGTAACCAGTGAAAATTACATGTGGCTTGAGATACCTGTAATGAGGAAGTGACCTGTACTGGTGTAATGTGTAGTGTCAACACTTCCGCTATTGTTACATAATTTACTGATGAATAAGTTCAATGGATATCAGTTAGTGTCATGGAAATTAGAGCTCATTTGTCAATAAATTTTTTCAGAGATGTCTAAGTCTTTGTTATATTCTGTATTGTTATGATGAATGCTAACCTGAAGACAATAAAGACGACAAGAGATTTATGTTTTCTGTCTTTCATTAAGTCCTCGAAAGTAGACATGGTCAGACTGAAATGCGTCATTATAATAATGCAAGAAGAGTACAGACACATTTTTCGCATTAATAAAATGCTCGCATTAATGTCATGATTTACTTTAGTCTTCTCCTCAAGCCAACTGACTCTAGGCACCGATGATATCACATATCAATACAATCAGAATGCTTCTGTTACACATTTTCCATATGCAGACAAAGGCTTTCAAGAAGACAATGTTGATTCTGTACAAACTATCTGTGCCTGTGACCAACCAGTATTTCATCATCAACACACACTAGATAGAGTTTTGTTTACCTAAATGATTACACCATCCATTATGCAGCATACAAAGTACAATAAAAATAATAAAACCATCTTTCATATCCCAATACACCAGTCTAACACAACCTAGGTTTTGTTCTAAGTTTGTTTTTCCTCTCCAAAGTTTTTTTCAAGTTCTGGAAACAGAAGATGAAAGACTTTTCCCACCGCCTTTGTCTTCTGACTTTCTCCCAAATCACCCAACATCTTCGCCACTGCAGACAGCCAATCATCAGCCAGCTCCAAGGATCTACACACAAGTGGGTGTTTTTCATCCAGCGCAGTGCAAAACTTGATTCCTTGATGTAATGCTAAAAACATCTCAGCCACGTCTATTTTCCAAGATATGACTGCTAACTCAATTTTACTAGACAGAATTTTGCCCAAATCCTTTTCACCGTCTTTGTGCAAACTGTCATCTGTCAGGGGAAATAACTCTGGGCAGAGAGCCTCCAAGATGACAAGAATAGCCAGCAAGGTGGAAACTAGACGTTGGATTTCTTCTGCGACAGTTGTTCCTGGAAAACATTGGAGACTGAATTTCAGAAAGATTTTTTACTTGGTCATGTAATCATTACCCAAACTTATAGAAATCCAACCGACTAAGATAGTTTGTTTGAGTGGCATTTTAGAAGTTGAGACGTACAATATGGAACAGGTTTTTATGGATAACAACTTCTTTATTTCGTGAGTCACGACGTTTGATACAGATTCTTGTACTGTTGTCAAGCAAGAGTCACATTCTTGCTTGACAACAGTACAAGAATCTGTATCGAAACGTCGCACTCAAGAAATAAAGAAGTTGTTATCCATAAAAACTTGTTCCATATTGACTAAGATAGTGTTGAGCATACAGAAGCTGAAATAACACAATCAGCTACTGTCTACATGCTTATGGGAATCAGTGGTATGACACCTTGTCAGAACCAAGTATAAAGAGGGAATGGCAACATATCTAAAGACAAAGTGTCCTTGAATGTGCATGAGTAATTAAGTGTTTTAGAAATACCAAAAACAGTATTCCAGTTTGGAAGGAAGACCAGACTGTCATGCCAGTACCTTCCCCTGCTTGTGGGTTCCACACAAGCCATGGGATATGTCTCTGACATGCATGGCTTCAGGATCTCCTCCCTGTTCTAACACACACACTATGAACTAGCAGAGTAATATCAGGCTCTCCTCCCTGTTCTAACACACACACTATGAACTAGCAGAGTAATATCAGGCTCTCTTCCCTGTTCTAACACACACACTATGAACTAGCAGAGTAATATCAGGCTCTCTTCCCTGTTCTAACACACACACACTATGAACTAGCAGAGTAATATCAGGCTCTCTAGCCCTGTTCTAACACACACATGAACCACTATCTCCTCCCTGTTCTAACAACACACTATGAACAGCAGTAATATCAGGCTCTCCTCCCTGTTCTAACACACACACTATGAACTAGCAGAGTAATATCAGGCTCTCTCTCCCTGTTCTAACACACACACTATGAACTAGCAGAGTAATATCAGGCTCTCCTCCCTGTTCTAACACACACACACACACACTATGAACTAGCAGAGTAATATCAGGCTCTCCTCCCTGTTCTAACACACACACTATGAACTAGCAGAGTAATATCAGGCTCTCCTCCCTGTTCTAACACACACACTATGAACTAGCAGAGTAATATCAGGCTCTCCTCCCTGTTCTAACACACACACTATGAACTAGCATGGCTCTCCTCCCTGTTCTAGCAGAGTAATATCAGGCTCTCTCTCCCCTGTTCTAACACACACACTATGAACTAGCAGAGTAATATCAGGCTCTCCCCTCCCTGTTCTAACACACACACTATGAACTAGCAGAGTAATATCAGGCTCTCCCTCCCTGTTCTAACACACACACTATGAACTAGCAGAGTAATATCAGGCTCTCCTCCCTGTTCTAACACACACACTATGAACTAGCAGAGTAATATCAGGCTCTCCTCCCTGTTCTAACACACACACTATGAACTAGCAGAGTAATATCAGGCTCTCCTCCCTGTTCTAACACACACACTATGAACTAGCAGAGTAATATCAGGCTCTCCTCCCTGTTCTAACACACACACTATGAACTAGCAGAGTAATATCAGGCTCTCCTCCCTGTTCTAACACACACACACTATGAACTAGCAGAGTAATATCAGGCTCTCCTCCCTGTTCTAACACACACACTATGAACTAGCAGAGTAATATCAGGCTCTCCTCCCTGTTCTAACACACACACTATGAACTAGCAGAGTAATATCAGGCTCTCCTCCCTGTTCTAACACACACACTATGAACTAGCAGAGTAATATCAGGCTCTCCTCCCTGTTCTAACACACACACTATGAACTAGCAGAGTAATATCAGGCTCTCCTCCCTGTTCTAACACACACACTATGAACTAGCAGAGTAATATCAGGCTCTCTTCCCTGTTCTAACACACACACTATGAACTAGCAGAGTAATATCAGGCTCTCCCCTCCCTAACACACACACTAACACACAGTCTCTCCTCCCTATGAACTAGCAGAGTAATATCAGGCTCTCTCTCCCTGTTCTAACACACACACACTATGAACTAGCAGAGTAATATCAGGCTCTCCTCCCTGTTCTAACACACACACTATGAACTAGCAGAGTAATATCAGGCTCTCCCTCTCCCTGTTCTAACACACACACTATGAACTAGCAGAGTAATATCAGGCTCTCCTCCCTGTTCTAACACACACACTATGAACTAACAGAGTAATATCAGGCTCTCCTCCCTGTTCTAACACACACACACTATGAACTAGCAGAGTAATATCAGGCTCTCTTCCTGTTCTAACACACACACTATGAACTAGCAGAGTAATATCAGGCTCTCCTCCCTGTTCTAACACACATACTATGAACTAGCAGAGTAATATCAGGCTCTCCTCCCTGTTCTAACACACACACTATGAACTAGCAGAGTAATATCAGGCTCTCTTCCCTGTTCTAACACACACACACTATGAACTAGCAGAGTAATATCAGGCTCTCTCTCCCCTGTTCTAACACACACACTATGAACTAGCAGAGTAATATCAGGCTCTCCTCCCTGTTCTAACACACATACTATGAACTAGCAGAGTAATATCAGGCTCTCCTCCCTGTTCTAACACACACACTATGAACTAGCAGAGTAATATCAGGCTCTCCTCCCTGTTCTAACACACACACTATGAACTAGCAGAGTAATATCAGGCTCTCTTCCCTGTTTAACACACACACTATGAACTAGCAGAGTAATATCAGGCTCTCTTCCCTGTTCTAACACACACACTATGAACTAGCAGAGTAATATCAGGCTCTCCTCCCTGTTCTAACACACACACTATGAACTAGCAGAGTAATATCAGGCTCTCCTCCCTGTTCTAATACACACACTATGAACTAGCAGAGTAATATCAGGATCTCCTCCCTGTTCTAACACACACACTATGAACTAGCAGAGTAATATCAGGATCTCCTCCCTGTTCTAACACACACACTATGAACTAGCAGAGTGATATTGTACTGAGTGATCAGTTTTACAAATTTGACTGTTTTCTGTAAGAGGAAACCATTACCTAGAGACCGAAGCCCCGCCATCATCAACATCTCTCTGTAGTCAAGGCTCCTGATGCAGAGAGTTGTGTCAAGCTCACTACAGAATCTCCATGACCCATCCTGACAACAGACATCATCATACAGAACACGAGAAACATAATACACATGACACATTACGTTATATAACATCTGCTCTATTTGGGATTACTCTTAGTCCAGAACAAATTCTGGTTCATTTTGGGGGGGAGTCTACTGGTTCCAGAAAACAGATTGAATAGCTACCTGAAGCACTTGAACCAGAGTCCGGTGAAGTTTTTGTAATGTCTCTATGGTATTTACTAGAGGATAGTGAAGGACAAGTGTTAGTACTCCCACTCACCTGATGCTGCAGCTGGAGGACCATCTGGATGTTGCCCTGAGGTAAGGGGTTCCTATAGTGAGCTGCTGCAGCACCTGTCACATGACCCCCAAGTTCTAGTGGTGTTGCTCTTCTTGTCACATCCCCTGAAACAATCCCCATGGTGCCACCATACTTCAAACTGCTAGATCCAGATTGGAAGCTGAATGGCATCTTTCCTCCGTAGCCTCCCTGAGTGAATTTATTGCTTGTCGGCTCAGCTAGAGGTTCAGTCATCACCTGGTCAGTGGACAACGTAGGAAACATGGTGATGCAAGGGTCAGACCCCTGGAATATTCCACTCTGATTAACAAATCCAGTAGTTGGTTTCTCTGGTACTTCCCAATCTCTGAAAAACTTGACTGGAGTTACTTCAGTCTTTTCTGACCTCTTGCCTGCAGTAAAACCCTGTGTCATCTGACTCCCAGAGAAAGCTCCTCCAAATCCTACACCATCTCCTCCAAGTCCCGCTCCTCCAAATGACAGCGACTGTCCACTAAAAGGTGTCTGATGGGGACGTAGATAGTCCTCCGAATCCTACACCATCTCCTCCAAGTCCCCCTTCTCCAAATGACAGCGACTGTCCACTAAAAGATTCCTGATTGAAACGAGATAGTCCTCCAAATCCTCCTCCTCTTCCTCCTTCCAATGATAGTGGCTGTCCACCAAAGGGTATCTGTTGTGGAGGGCTCTTTTGTTGCTGCTGCTGTTGCTCTTGCATTCCAAACATACCACTCTGATATGTTTGTTCCTTTGTATAGCTTTGTCCAAACAGGGGCCTCCTTTCCTCAGAAGGATATGCCTGTTGTTGCTGTTGTTGTTGTTGCATGCCAAATGTACTACTCTGATACAGTTGTTCATCTGCATGCTTGTTTACAAACCGGGAATTAGATTTCACTGGAGGCTGTTGTTGTTGCTGCTGCTGCATGACATCTGATGAAAGAGATGACATGAAGCTCTGTGAATCCTGGAATCCTGGCAGATTGTGCTTCATGATGTCTGTGTGAAATGGCATCTGTACATTACAACCAAATCCAGATCCAAAAGATGGTTTTTCAGCATGTTTAGACATATCTACTGCCCCCAATGAGAAACTCGTTGAAGAAGGTGTCGCCACTTGTCTGTCTGCTTGGATAGTTTGTGAAGCAGGTAGCACTGAACTACCAAATCCAGATCCAAAAGATGGTTTTTCAGCATGTTTAGACATATCTACTGCCCCCAATGAGAAACTCGTTGAAGAAGGTGTCGCCACTTGTCTGTCTGCTTGGATAGTTTGTGAAGCAGGTAGCACTGAACTACCAAATCCAGATCCAAAAGATGATTTTTCAGCATGTTTAGACATATCTACTGCCCCAAATGAAAACTCCGTTGAAGAAGGTGTCGCCACTTGTCTGTCTGCTTGGATAGTTTGTGAAGCAGGTAGCACTGAACTACCAAATCTAGATCCAAAAGATGATTTTTCAGCATGTTTAGACATATCTACTGCCCCAAATGAGAAACCCGTTGAAAAAGGTGTCGCCACTTGTCTGTCTGCTTGGATTGTTTGTGAAGCAGGTAGCACTGAACTACCAAATCCGGATCCAAAAGAGGATTTTTCAGCATGTTTAAATTTCCCTACTGGCCCAGACGAGAAAGTCGTTGAAGCAGATGTTGGGTAGAACGCCATACCAGTTTGAATGACTTCTCCTTGTGGTAGAATGGTTGCATGTCCTGCAACCGAGGAAGGAGGATGAACAGAGGAAGCCATTTCCACATCCATTCCAAGCAGATCTTCCTCTGCCTGGTCTCTTGCTGTTAACAGAGATGCACTCTTGGAGCGAAATGTCCTCCCTTCCTCTTCCACACCTGTAGAAACATAGCCGCCAGGGTATTATAAGGCTGTGACGGCTGCCAAACTATTCATGGAATGTCCTTACACCATGAGGACAATCGCGATAACAAGGATAATTATCAGTAGTTGACATGGATACAGCATTTCTTACAGCAATGTCATTAAATATACAACTATCAACTCATCACACCTTACACTGTATGCACTTTACTATTTTGTTTACAAAAATGGCTGCAATATAATATTTTGCCATGACAGGATGCCAATGCTGTATCATAAATTCAGTGACAGAATGATAAACAAAGTCTGAACACTAAGCAACAACAGAGTGACAGATCACTCAGGTAAACATATTTACATTCAAGATTCATGATCAAACTTTTGTAAAATAAGAAATATTAACCAAGTGTTAGTTAAATGTATATATCATAATACATAATTATTATAGATTAAATGTTACATTACTCTATTATTATATAACACTATAAAATTTGTGAAGTCTGTGGCAAGGTAAATATTAAGTAATGGGATAAAGATTCACAGTGGTAAAGATTATGGGTGGTACATTCAATAGCTCCATCTGTCAAATAGGAGTTTCCCACTTTAGAAACAGAAACATTAAAATGTAAACATGGATACTGATGACAAGTACATAGATAGAGATTATTACACAAGCAAGTGTGTCATACGACTTAAATGAAACAAGTGTGTAAATATATGTTGCATTGTCCAAGCGTGAAAGAGGGCAATACACAATTTTGCATGAGTTTCATATAAGTCGTATGACACACTTGTGAGTGTAATACTTTCTTTATTATCATTTTATTCATGTAAATGTATGCAGCAAAACACCATAAGCAAGTGTGACTGCCCTGTAAATTAAATCAAGTTCAATTATTTAATGATGTCACACACAACGAAACACAGAAACAACGGTTGCTAGGCAAAAGTGATATGTACACATATGCACATATGATATATATGACACTGGTTATGTTTCACCATTTGGGTAACAAATGTACTTCCTAGCTCGACTCACATGGGGTACTAGAGACAGATGTAACCTGACAAGCTCCTGGAGACAGATGTAACCTGACAAGCATGGGGTACTGAAGACAGGTGTGACCTGACAAGCATGGGGTACTGGAGACAGGTGTGACCTGACAAGCATGGGGTACTGGAGACAGGTGTGACCTGACAAGTATGGAGTACTGGAGACAGGTGTGACCTGACAAGCATGGGGTACTGGAGACAGGTGTGACCTGACAAGTATGGGGTACTGGAGACAGGTGTGACCTGACAAGTATGGGGTACTGGAGACAGGTGTGACCTGAAAAGCATGGGGTACTGGAGACAGGTGTGACCTGACAAGTATGGGGTACTGGAGACAGGTGTGACCTGACAAGCATGGGGTACTGGAGACAGGTGTGACCTGACAAGCATGAGGTACTGGAGACAGGTGTGACCTGACAAGCATGAGGTACTGGAGACAGGTGTGACCTGACAAGCATGGGGTACTGGAGACAGGTGTGACCTGACAAGCATGGGGTACTGGAGACAGGTGTGACCTGACAAGCATGGGGTACTGGAGACAGGTGTGACCTGACAAGCATGGGGTACTGGAGACAGGTGTGACCTGACAAGCATGTGGTACTGGAGACAGGTGTGACCTGACAAGCATGGGGTACTGGAGACAGGTGTGACCTGACAAGCATGGGGTACTGGAGACAGGTGTGACCTGACAAGTATGTGGTACTGGAGACAGGTGTGACCTGACAAGCATGGGGTACTGGAGACAGGTGTGACCTGGACAAGCATGGGGTACTGAAGACAGGTGTGACCTGACAAGTATGGGGTACTGGAGACAGGTGTGACCTGACAAGCATGGGGTACTGAAGACAGGTGTGACCTGACAAGCATGGGGTACTGGAGACAGGTGTGACCTGACAAGCATGGGGTACTGGAGACAGGTGTGACCTGACAAGTATGTGGTACTGGAGACAGGTGTGACCTGACAAGTATGGGGTACTGGAGACAGGTGTGACCTGACAAGTATGTGGTACTGGAGACAGGTGTGACCTGACAAGCATGGGGTACTGGAGACAGGTGTGACCTGACAAGCATGGGGTACTGGAGACAGTATGTGGTATGTGGAAGAAGATGACCAAATAATGAAATGTTATAATGAGCACATGCACACATGAACTTTAATATCCCAGAAAATTACTTGGTCACTTTGACTACGGTGTTTTTTCATAGTCAACCTTACCAAACACTCCATTGACGGAGCATCAATGACCCTATCAAACACTGGTGTGGAAGGTGCATCAATGACCCTGTCATACACTGGTGTGGAAGGTGCATCAACGACCCTATCAAACACTGGTGTGGAAGGTGCATCAACGACCCTATCAAACACTGGAGTGGAAGGTGCATCAACGACCCTATCAAACACTGCTGTGGTAGGTACATCAACGACCCTATCAAACACTGACGTGGAAAATGCATCAACGACCCTATCAAACTCTGGTGTGGGAGGTGCATCAACGACCCTATCAAACACTGCTGTGGAAGGTGCATCAACGACCCTATCAAACACTGGAGTGGAAGGTGCATCAACGACCCTATCAAACACTGGTGTGGAAGGTACATCAACGACCCTATCAAACACTGGTGTGGAAGGTGCATCAACGACCCTATCAAACACTGGAGGGGAAGGTGCATCAACGACCCTATCAAACACTGGAGTGGTAGGTGCATCAATGACCCTATCAAACACTGGTGTGGAAGGTGCATCAACAACCCTATCAAACACTGGTGTGGAAGGTGCATCAACGACCCTATCAAACACTGGTGTGGAAGGTGCATCAATGACCCTGTGAAACACTCGAGTGGAAGGTGCATCAACGACCCTATCAAACACTCGAGTGGAAGGTGCATCAACGACCCTATCAAACACTGGAGTGGAAGGTGCATCAACGACCCTATCAAACACTGGTGTGGAAGGTGCATCAACAACCCTATCAAACACTGGTGTGGAAGGTGCATCAACGACCCTATCAAACACTGGTGTGGAAGGTGCATCAACGACCCTATCAAACACTGGTGTGGAAGGTGCATCAAGACCCTATCAAACACTGGAGTGGAAGGTGCATCAACGACCCTATCAAACACTGGAGTGGTAGGTGCATCAACGACCCTATCAAACACTGGTGTGGAAGGTGCATCAACGACCCTATCAAACATTGGCATTGACAGTGCATGAACAACTCTACCAAATACTGTTGTCAACAGCAAATCAAAAGTCATTGTTAAAACAGAGCTCGTGTGGCCATCATAATGCTAATAGTCGTATGTTGTTATATCTGGGGCTTAAGATTAAAATCAACTTGTGAAAAAGACCCCTGGTATCTCTCTATGCCAAGATTTGTAAAACTGTTGACACTGAAAATCAGATTTTCTTATCTTACCTGCTAAATCACGATCTCTGCTTCTACTTGTTGATTTTCTTGATCTTCCTGATCTTTTGTCTTCATCAACTTGTGAAGGAGGAGACATCCTGGAGACATCTGGGGGAGGTGGAGGAATGTGATTTTCGACACCTCTTCGGTGTGACAGAGGTGGGGTTGCCTGACGTAATGCTAGAGGAAATGGTGGAGGGAGGACTGCATAAAGTCCACGAGCGGGAGGTGGTGGAGGCGGGGCTTCATGATGGCTAGAAGTGGGAGGTGGAGGAGGAGCTAGTCCTGGAGGGGGACGTGGGGCTGCATGATGTCCAAGAGGGGGTGGTGGAGGTGGAGCTGCCTGACGTCCAGGAGGGGGAGGTGGTGGAGGCGGGGCTTCATGATGGCTAGAAGTGGGAGGTGGAGGAGGAGCTAGTCCTGGAGGGGGAGGTGGAGCTGCATGACGTCCAGGAGGGGGAGGTGGTGGAGGTGGGGCTTTACGATGGCTTGAAGCTAGTCCTGCTCTTGGAGAGGCTGTGTCCGAACTGGTACATCTGGCATAAGGGCGAAATGCTTCATCAGAAAACTGTTTAGCTTGAAAGTGCATGGGTGCATTACTTTGTATACGAGCAATTTGAGGCTCAATAACTTTCTTTAACTGTTTGCCATTGCCTATTTGTTGAAGCAGAGAAGCACGACCATGACTTGCAGGTGCCACAGTGGGTATTGGGGGCCCTGCAGACATCATTGGATGGATGACTGGAAGTGGAGGAGGAAAGAATAATTTGGACTTTCTCTTCATTTTCACTGATTTCGCTGCAACATGACCAAACTCCACTCCTTCAATGCCTGTAACAGCTCGGACTGGCAAGTGGGGTGGGGCCCCTCCTCCTACTGCTGTGTTTCCAGGCAAGACCTCCTGTCCATCAGGAGCGGCATATTTGGAACTTGTGGGAGTGTCATCATCAAACAATCCAAACCCCATGTCTTCATCCTCCGACTCCTCCAACTCACCACACTGTTCAGCTATCCATTCAGCTGCCATTGCCTGGCCAAGACCCCCAGTCTCAGTCAATGGAGGAAGCGGGCGTCTTGTACTACCTCTATTGCCTGTTGCAAATTGTGCTCCATGTTGCTTCTTTTTCTCAGCGGGCTCTTCCCGCAACAATTTACGTTGTAGTCCAAGGAGACTATAGCCTGAAAGAAAAACACATACATTTACATTAAAATATGAATCACATTTACATTTTTAAATTCACTAATTGCAAGAGATTAGTTAAACAAGATTGTTTCCAAAAACTAAAAAGAAATTGCGCTGTACCCACAAACAAACAACTGTTGCCTGATTGGCTGGAAAAACAATGGGCGGGGCTTGTGTTGCATTATTGCACTTATTGCACTGATTTTGTAGAGTTATCTACATATTCTGCAAGCTCATTATTACATTAGCAATCTGAAAAGACGATGCATATGTTTATAAGAATCGACTTCAGTGTGTGTACATACACAGTGTGCATGCCATGTTTTATATGAATACTTAAGCAAATTCACCTTGTACTAAAGACAATATGTTCTGAGTGTACCAAGATACTTGTACTGATAAACAGTTTCAAATTTTGAAAATTTTATTATAAATTGTATATTTATATACTTATCCTATCTCACAGTATGCACCTCTCTTCTTCTACGACCATGTTTGGAAACATGCTGTAGGCTAAGTTGAATCAAATCTTACTGGCCTCTGACCCGCCCTGACCTCTGCCCCCACTCCGACATCAGCACCTGTCGATCATCTCCGCAAGCGTGGAGCTCGCTCAGATGATCATGTGACTACCTGTGCCTGTCATTCTCGTCTTGGAGCTTCCAGTAATCTGTGATGTGGGGCAGGTTGGGTGGGTCCTATCGCGTGAGATAGGATAAGTATATAAATATACAATATATAATAAAATTTTCAAATGTTTAAACTTATCCTATCTCACGGTATGCATAATCCCACGGCTGGTAGGCAAGTCGCAGATTACCCCGTTACTACCACTAGGAAAAACGCATAACCCAAGGAGGCCAGGAGAAAGCACCAACTCCCGATATGCAAACTCCAACTTGAGATGGGTTTCTTCACGTAACCCCTTGGCTTACACAGCACAAAAACTCTAGGGAGTGGGTGTTCCCGAATTAATGTGGTTTTCAGCCGCAACTTTTGACAAGCAAAAGGATGCAGTTCGGCAACTAGGCACCGCCGTCCCGCGATTTATCAGGTGACCCCAGTGAATTAAAGTTGAGGACCTTAATCTGGCCAGTCCCTGCTTCGAAACTACCCCCCACAGACACACGCTGGAAGGCGGTGAAAGAGGGAATAGTTCGGTTGCTCAACTAGTTTAACGTTCAGTACCAATCTCCCTAACGTACCAAAGGTGAGAAAGGAATCAGGAGCAGAACGCTTTGAAAACCATGTATGTAATCGGAAATCAACACTTAACTGACGTAATTGCTCAGAGCGTAGAGGTCAGTAAGTGGAGTGTCGATCATCTCTGCATGTAGCACAAGACTGGCCTCACAGTCTATTAAGTCATAACTGATGACAGTGCAGACACGCTCTATTCCCATAGGTGAGAATAATCTAAGCACAAATAGAAAAAAGTACCAAGACATGGATTACATCGATATCTTTTATTATGTACAGAGCAACACCGACCAAAGAAGGATTGCTTTATCTGCGAACGCGGGCCGATGACAATTGCTGCGCCAGGACCAGGGGGCCGAATTGATGTAGACCTTCCACCGTATCTGATCGTAAAAAACAGCCCTCCATGATGGACTGCAGGGAACAATTTCTGTGAAGAGCCATGGTGGAGACAAGAGCTCGAGTCTCATGACGCTTCACCTTCGACGGTGGAGGTAGGTCAGCAAAGGCATAAGCACGCAGGATTGTAGTTCGCATCCAAAACGCCAAGGTAGTACGGGAGACTTCCGAGGTGGAGGCAGTAGACAATGGAATGAACAATCTTTTACGCAGTCTGCGGCGATCCTGTGAGGCAGCTAAGTAAATCCTTAATGCACGCACCGGGCATAAGGACAGATCCTCAGTGTCATATGGGCCCAAGATAGAGGACAACGGCGGAATCGTGAATGTGCGATCCGGCTGTCCTGGTAACTGATTCTTGGCGAGAAGATCCCACCGCAAACCAAGGAAAACTTTTGTATGTCTAGACCTTTCAAACCGCACCCGAGAATCATCAAGAGCATGCAACTCAGAAATACGAGCAGCCGTAGCCAAGACCAATAGAAAGAAGATCTTAAAGGAGACATGTTCGAAATCTTTCTCTTCCAAAGGTTCATAATCAGCTGACGTGAGATGAGCAAGTACAACGGAAAGATTCCAAGCTGGAGGCCGGAACTTCCGAGATTGGTGAGCCAGTTTGTAAGACTGACTGACTGAGTTTGGTTTTACGTTGCTTTTAGCAATATTCCAGCAACATCACGGCGGGTGTAAGACCGGAGGAGAGACTCGAGTTCAGCTCGGTGGACACCTTCACACCTGAGGCCGCTGCAATAACCGTGTTAAGAGCCACCAGATAGGTAGCTAGTGAAGAACCTTTGAGTTTTCTGGAGGTTCAGAGATGCTAAAGGTACTCTGCCACCATCTGCGGGGACGCCGTAGTGAGGGATGAGACGCCCCTCTTCCTGCAATACGCTTTGAAATTCTTCCATTTGTCATCGTAGAGTGACCTCGTAGAAGTACGATGCGCTGTAGTAATGGCAGTAGCCACACGCTTAGAATAGGTCTTAGCCGTTAACGACCGATGTAGATGCACCAAACGTGCAGATGGAGCGTCATCGGGGACCAATGCAGTTGGTCGGTGTGCGGATGTACCAGTAGATCAGGTCGAACAGGAAGTGGCACGGGATCTGGTTCGGCTATGTCTTGAAGGTTTACGAACCAGCTTCTAGCCGGCCAATAGGACGCGACCAAAAGATGAGTCATCCTCTGAGTTGCACGCAGCTTCACTAATATGCGAGGAAGAAGGGCCACTGGTGGAAACGCGTAAGCGTTCAGGTCCTCCCACGGAATGGCTAGGGCATCGAGGTCCCAAGCCAGAGGATCCGGAATCGGTGACACAAACCGAGGCAGCTGATGGTTGAATTGAGTGGCGAAGAGATCCACTGTCAGAGTCGTCAATGGAAGGCAACAGGTCTGGAACACCTGAGGATGTAATTTCCATTCCGTTGGAGAGGGACGACTCAGTCGGGACAGAGAATCTGCGATGACATTCTTCACCCCCGGAATGTAGTTGGCTCATACCATGATGTGGAGAGAGTCCACCAGATCGAAGAAACCGTTGGGTCCACTGCAGCAGTTGAGTTGACCCCGTGGACCCCATCCTGTTGATATGCCAAATCACCGCTGCGTTGTCCGACCGGATCATGAGGGAAGTTGCTCGTAGGACATCCTGCCAGTGACTGATTGCAAGCATCACCGCCCTGAACTCCAGAACGTTGATGTGACAGGCGCGATCGATGGGAGACCACCGCCCTGCCACTTGTTGATTGAGAAGATGAGCTCCTCACCTGTGTAGAGACACGTCCGCATACAGGTGGTAAGACGGAACAAACGGCCCTAAACAAACTCCGTCGCAAACATTCAATTCTGCCATCCACCACAGGAGATGGGGATGGAGCTGCAGAGGTAGAGTGATCAAGGCAACGGGATCTCCCACTCTGATGTAAGGCGCTACAAAGAACTGCAAGGGACGAAGTTGTAGTTGACCCCTGAGGGTGAACGCCTGAGCCGACGTCAAGAGGCCCAGGAGCTCCTGCCACTGACGAAGCGTCCTGGGTTGCACCAGTGCCAGAGAAACCAATCGCTGA